TTGCTCTTTTTTTCTCCCAATTTTTAAACTCATTTCACTTTCTAAATTTAGGCCTACCTGCTCTCTCCTCTATCCTCCTTTCAAAATACTTGTTTTATTTCTCCTTGCCTTCTCATTTCTTTTCTCCCTCCTCTATCCTAAACTTTGGCCCTTCCTCTATTCCACCAATTCCTTAACCATATTTTCTTTTTTTAATCACGGCATCTATAGATTCTCCCTCCCCTGCCCCCCTTCTAGGTGTTTTCTGTTTGTGATTTTTGGTTTACTTATCTAGTTTGTTTTGTTTTCTACACATATTCTTTCTTTATTTCTTTTTTTCTCTCACTATCATTCTTGCTCTATTTTCTCTTTCCTAATTTTCTCTTCTCTGTTGTTCTCTTGATTGGGTTATAGGTGGCTTGTGTACATTCGTGCTCTGTTTCTTCTGTGTCCTATCTTGTCATGTTATACTATATGCTCTTTGGTCAGCACCTCCATAATGGTTGGCACGACATCATAGGGAGTAAACCACATAAACAGACACCATGAGAGGAGACTACATCCACTAAAGGAACAATAATATTCAAGAACTGAATACATCAGGAGAACCGAAATATATCAAGTAGGGGTCCTCCCCAGAACACTGATCTCATGAGACCTGAGATACCACTGGGTCCTACAAAATATGTGCTATGTAAGACCAATTCAAATATCTGGGTGGCATAGCTGTTTGATCTAATACATAGAAACAATTACAAAGGAACAAGAAAATTGGGAAGAGAAAGAAACAACCACCAAATGAAGTAAAAGGATGAATTACCAGAAAAGCAACTAAATGAAATGGAGGCAAGCAATTTGTCAGAGAAAGAATTCAGAGTAATCTACACTAATAAAAGAGAAATATGGTAATTGGCATACAACCGCTACCCTTTTCATTGGCTAATCAGGGTGATATGCAAATTAACTGCCAACTAAGATGGCAGTTAACTGTCAACAAAGATGGCGGTTAATTTGCATATGTAGGCACAATGCAGGGAGGCGAAAGGGAAATCAGGAAGAAGCCCCCTGCCACTGACAGTGATCAGAAACCCAGGGGGGAGCTAAGAGCTGGGGGGCAGGGCAAAGGTGGCCCTGGGGGCCGCCTTTGCCCTGCCCCCCAGCCATGATTGGAGAATCGGGCGCCTTTGCCGCCCTGGCCAGTGATAGCAGGAAGTAGGGGTGGAGCCAGCGATGGGAGCTGGGCACGGTCGAAGCTGGCAGTCCCGGGAGCTAGGGGTCCCTTGCCTGGGCCTAAAGCGGAGCCTGCGATTGTGGGGCCGCTGCCGCTGTGGGTCCCCGCTGCCCGGGCCAGACGCCTCAGCCAGAGGCATTAGGCCTGGGCCGGGGCAGAGCCTGCACCCTGGGGGAGCTGGGGGTCCCCTGCCCAGGCCTAAGGCCTCAGCCAGAGGCGTTAGGCCTGGGAAGGGGCAGAGCGGGAGATCGTGGGGAGCTGGGGGTCCCCTGCCCAGGCCTAATGACTTGGCCAGAGGCTTTAGGCCTGGGCAGGGGTGGAGCCTGCAACCGCAGGGAGCTGGGGGTGCCCTGCCCAGGCCTAATGCCTTGGCCAGAGGCATTAGGCCTGGGCAGGGGCAGAGCGGGAGATCGCGGGGAGCTGGTGGTCCCTGCTGCCCGGGCCGGATTCCTCGGCCAGAGGCATTAGGCCTGGACAGGGGCGGAGCCTGCAACCGCGGGGAGCTGGGGGTCCCCTGCCCAGGCCTGACACCTCTGCTGGAGGCCTCAGGCCTGGGCAAGGGGCCTATCCGGTGATCAGCGATCAGATGGTGATGAGGGTCAACTCCTCTGGGCGAGGCATCAGGCCTGGGCAGGGGGGGGCGGAGCCAGCAATTGGAAGGGGCTGAGGGTCCCCTGCCCAGGCCTGATGCCTGGGCCAGAGGCATCAGGCCTAGGTGGGGGGCAGAGCCGGGGATTGGGGGGATATGATGGTCCCCTTGCCCAGGCCTGAAGCCTGGGTCAGAGGCATCAGGCTTGGGCGGGGGCGTGGAGCAAGCGATCAGAGGGAGATGGGGGTCCCCTGCCCAGGCATGATTCCTGGGCCAGAGGCATCAGACCTGGGCTGGGGGCAGAACCAGTGATGGGGGGAAATGAGGGTCCCCTGCCCAGGTCTGACACCTCTGGCAGAGGCGTCAGGCCTGGGCAAGGGGTCAATCCTGCGATTGGAGGGTGATGGGAGTCAATGCCTGAGGGCTCCCAGTATGTGAGAGGGGGCAGGCTGGGCTGAGGAACACTCCCTCCCCACCCCACCCCCCCACGCAGTGCATGAATTTTGTGCACCGGGCCCCTAGTGGTTTATAACAGTGATGGTGAACCCATGACAAGTATGTCAGAGGTGACACACAAACTCATTTTTTGGTTGATTTTTCTTTGTTAAATGGAATTTCAATATATAAAATAAATACCAAAATATAAATCTTTGTTTTACTATGGTTCCAAATATCAAAAAATTTCTACATGTGACACAGCACCAGAGTTACGTTAGGGTTTTTCAAAATGCTGACACGCTGAGCTCAAACGGTTCACCATCAATGGTTTATAAGGATGCTCAAAGGTCTGAATGAGAAATTCAACATGTATAAGAATTAGGAGGAAATAAAGAATAACATAGCTGCAATAAAAAACACAATGGGAGGTTTCAACAATAGATTAGAAGAGGCTGAGGACATAATAAGCAAGTTAGAAGATAAGACAGAAAAAAACATCCAAGCAGAGCAGCAACAGGAAAAAAAATGAAAAAGCAGGAGAAGAGTCCAAAGGAGCTTCGGGAAAACACTAAATGAAATGACAAGTACATAATAGGACTCCCAGGAGGAGAGGAATCTGAACATGTAATAGAAAACCTGTTTGAAGAAATAATGACAAAACTTCCCTGACTTTGGGAAGGAAAAAGTCACACAAGTCCAAGAAACAAAGTGAGTCCCAAACAAGATGAACCCCAAACGACCCACACCAAGACACATGATAATTAAATTGGAAAACAGCAACGACAATGTAAGAATCTTAAAGGCTGCCAGAGAGAGAGAATGGATCTCCCATTAAATTATCAACTGATTTCTCAACAGAAACACATCAGGCCAGAAGGGAATGGAATGAAGTACACAAAATGATGCAAAGAAAGGGACTGAATCCAAGAATACTCTATTGAGTAAGTATATCAATCAAAATTGAAGGTGAGAGGGGACTGTTGGAGACTGCTGGATCACGCTCCCCTAACTGGGCAGCCTCCACTGCTACTGAAATCTCTCCCACAGTGGCTGGCTCTGCCTCAGAGACCTCACCATCTTAAAGGGGAGAGTGGCTGTTATCAGAAGCATATACATCCAGGGACCTTGAAACCATGGCACTCAGGTGAAAAAGAAAATTCCAGGAGACGGAAGATGGCGGCGGTATAGGCAGACGCGTCCCAGGTCGTGTCCTGGAGCAAATGGAGTGAGCAGCTGAAACTAGTAACATCCACCCCGAATTGGTGAAATTGCTCAGCTGGTGAGACGGTTTGCAGCCGGGAAGAGCAGAACTCCCCTGGAAAGATCCAAGCAACAGCAACCTCCTGAGCACCACACCCTCTGCTGAGGAACAGCAGCTGTACGTGAAACCTCGCCCCACCAGCCAGAAGAGCCACCACAGCTGTGAACAGCACCCACCAGAGGAGCTGCTGCCAACTGAAGAGCAGCTGCTACCGCAACCGCCCAAAGAGCAACCACAGACCAAGGAGTCACTGCCACCAAGGGAGCAACCACTGAACGACTCAACGTCTAGATATGTCAGTGAGATCAAACATGGGTAGACAAAGAAACCCCCAAAGGAAAGAGAAGGAGGACTCTCCAGAAAAGCAGCTAAGTAATACAGAGGCATGCAACATGACAGAAAAAGAATTCAGAATAAGGGTCCTAGAGTGCATAAACCGGATGGAGGAAAAAATCGACAACCTCTGCAAAAAGCAAGAAGAAACAGATGAAAAAATCGATAACATATGGAAGAAGCTAGAAGAAACAGATGAAAAATCAACAACTTAAGTAAGACCCTCCTGGTTTCTTGTGCTCAGGAACCTGCTTCCAACACTTAATAGCTATCCTAGAAGTCTGATCGAAAGTTCTCGGATCCATTGTAACCTGTTGAGGCCTCCTGCAAAACTCCCTGTACCGCAAAGCATATCTACACTTACAGGTACCCCTGCAGTTAAATTATCCATTCCCTGAACCTCAGCTTCTTCCCTATAGAGACTCAACCACACAGCATGTTGTGCAGGAGTCAATAATGTTTTACAAAAAACTTTCCAGTCCCATGGTGTCATGTGATAGGACCCAGCTATAGCTTCTACCATCCCATGAGTGTAAGGGGAATGCAAACCATTTTCCTTAATACTTCTCTTAATCTCTTTAGAAAAGGTGTAGGGGAGGTAGTCATGCTGTCGCTGCCCCTGAGCATTAATAATCACAGGGAAAGCACTCAGATCAGGATCCTTAGCTGCTTCCTGTAAACACTAAGACATAGCAGTAGCTCGCCCAGGCCGAGCTGCCGTCCATGGCGATGCTGTTGGTCGTATAAGGGGTGTACCAAAATGGAGACTTTCAAAGTGGGGATCTTCATCATCATCTATAACCCAGGTCGGAGGGACTATTTAATCCCCTGGCTTAAGATCCTCCCACTTAGGGGGCTTAGTTAGATCAGAAATTATTTGCCTTCCTTCCTCATCTGCCTTCTCAATCTCATCATCAGTGACAAAAGCCACCGATGTTGCAGCAGGAGCAGTGGGTTGCAGGGGCTTCAAAGCAGTTGTCACATAAGCCCAGGTTCCTAAAAGAGAACCTCCAACTGCACTGCCTTTCTCCTGCTCTCTCTTTAATGTACTGCCCTCAGGGTTCCACACCTCTGCCTCTAGTGTTCCCTTATCTGGAAACCAGGGGCAGTGATAATGAATCTGCTCCATAAGAGCAAGTAAATGTTTATCTTTAACATCGCAGCCCTTGGACCGCAGCAGCTGCTGCATAAGCTAAGAAAAGAGCTGTTGAAACTTAGTCACGGAATTCCCCATGCTTTTATCAGGAGATTTACGAAAGGCTACTCACCCAGCACTTTCTTTTTCGGCCGATTCCCCTCCTGATCTCACTCTCTGACTTCTCACAGTCTACATCTCTCTTGGAAGGCACCTGGTGCAGCGTGAATACAGTTCCTCACACGGGGCAACAACTGTGGGAAGGAAACTCCTAAGAAAGAAATAAGAAATAAGACACCCACACAAGAAGCAGGTAAATGGCCAACAGCACCTTTTGATCACCGTTGCTACCTATTTATCTACTTCAAAGTTATACAATCAATCACTGTTGCTAAGTGCAGTTACTAAAACAAGTGAACTACATAAAACATCATTAATCAATTTTTGCCCCGTTACCAAGGTATTATTAATCAACTTTGCCCCGTTGCTCTAGCTACTAATATCAACTTGCCCCGTTGCCCTAGCTATTAATATCAACTTGCCCCGTTTCCTAGACTATTATAAACTTGCCCCATTTCCATGACTACCCTCAACCATACATGGTTCCATTTCCCCAGTAACTGCCAACATACCTGAGAGGGACATTCAGAGGTCACAGTGGCCACACACCCGGAACCAGCAGTTTTCTGCGGCATCTACAGATACCCTCCCACAAATATCCCTCATGAACATAGATGCCAAAATCTTCAACAAAATCTTAGCAAATTGGATCCAGGAGTACATCAGAAAGACGATACACCATGACCAAGTAGGATTTATCCCAGGGATGCAAGGATAGTACAATATCCGCAAATCAATAAACGTGATACATCACATAAACAAATTGAGAGATAAAAACCACATAGTCATATCAATTGATGCAGAAAAAACATTTGACAAAAGCCAACACCCATTTTTTATAAAAATTATCAGCAAGGTGGGAATAGAAGGGTCATACCTCAACAAAATAAAAGCCATATATGACAAACCCACAGCCAACATCACACTCAATGGACAAAAACTAACACCATTCCGCCTAAGAACAGGAATAAGACAGGGATGCCCACTCTCACCACTCCTGTTCAACATAGTACTGGAAGTATGAGCCATGGCAATTAGATAAGAAGAAGAAATATAAGGCATCCAAATTGGAAAAGAAGAAGTAAAACTGTTCTTATTTGCAGATGACATGATATAATACATAAAAAACCCTAAAGACTCCATCAAAAAGCCATTAAACTTAATACATGGATTTGTCAATGTAGCAGGATACAAAGTTAACCCCAAGAAATCTATGGCATTTCTATAAACCAATAGTGAACTTACAGAAAGGGAGACTAAAAAAACAATCCCATTTACCATCACACCAAAAAAAATTAAGATACCTAGGAATAAACTTAACTAAGGAGGTAAAAGACCGCTACTCAGAAAAATACAGGATGTTGAAAAAAGAGATAGAGGGAGAAATAAACAGATGGAAGAACATACCGTGTTCATGGATTGGTAGAATCAACATCATTAAAATGTCCATACTACCCAAAGCAATCTATAAATTTAACGCACTTACCATTAAAATACCAACGACATATTTCACAGATCTAGAATGAACTCTCCAAAAATTCATCTGGAATAAAAAATGACCCCAAATAGCTGCAGCAATCCTGGGAAAGAACAAAGTAGGTGGGATCTCAATACCAGATATCAAGCTGTATTACAAAGCCACTGTTCTCAAAACTGCCTGGTACTGGCACAAGAACCGACATATAGATCAATGGAATAGAATAGAGAGCCCAGAAATCGGCCTGAACCAATATGCTCAATTAATATTTGACAAAGGAGGCACGAACATACAATGGAGTCAAGATAGTCTCTTCAATAAATGGTGTTGGGAAAATTGGACAGATACATGCAAGAAAATGAAACTGGACCACCAAACTTACACCATACACAAAAATAAACTCAAAATGGATAAAGGACTTAAATGTACAATGGGAAACCATAAAAAATACTAGAAGAATCCAAAGGCAACAAAATCTCAGACATATGTCGAAGCAATTTCTTCACCGATACAGCTCTTAGGGCATTGGAAACTAAAGAGAAAATAAACAAATGGGACTACATCAAAATAAAAAGCTTCTGCACAGCAAAAGAAACACTCAACAAAACAACAAGAAATTCCACTGCATGGGAGAACATATTTGCCAATGTTATCACTGATAAGGGTTTAATCTCCAACATTTATAGGGAACTCATACAACTTAACAAAAGGAAGATAAACAATCCAATCAAAAAATGGGCAAAAGACCTAAATAGACACTTTTCAAAAGAGGACATTCAAAAAGCCAAGAGACATATGAAAACATGCTCAAAGTCACTAATCATCTGAGAAATGCAAATCAAAACAACAATGAGGTACCATTTCACACCAGTCAGAATGGCTATCATCAATAATTCAACAAACGACAAGTGCTGGAGAGGATGTGGAGAAAAAGGAACACTCATGCACTGCTGGTAGGAATGCAGACTGCTGCAGCCACTCTGGAAGATAGTATGGAGTTTCCTTAAAACACTAAAAATGGAACTCCTATTTGACCCTGTGATCTCACCTCTAGGAATATATCCCAAGAAAACAGAAACACCAATCAGAAAGGATATATGCACCCCTATGTTCATAGAAGCACAATTCACCATAGGTAATATCTGGAAACAGCCTAAGTGCCCATCAGCAGATGAATGGATTAGAAAACTGTGATACATCTACATGACGGAACACTATGCTCCTGTAAAAAAGAAGGAATTCTTACCATTTGCAACAGCATGGATTGAACTGGAGAGCATTATGCTAAATGAAATAAGCCAGTCAATGAAGGAAAAATACCACATGATCCCACTCATTTATAAATAATAAAGACCATTATACACTTATGAACAAAAATAGATAGAGAGTCAGAGCAGCCTCGAACAGACTGTCAAACTACAGCGGGAAGGCCGGGGAGGGTTGGGGAGTGGGGGGTGGAGTGTAAGAGATCAACCGAAGGACTTGTATGCATGCATATAAGCATAACCAATGGACATAAGACACTGGGGGTTAGGGGAGGCCAGGGGATTGTTAAGGGCGGGAAAAAAAGGAGACATATGTAATACTCTTTGTAATACTTTAAGCAATAAAACAATTAAAAAATAAAATAAAATAAATAACGAGTACACATCTTTACCTACGTTGTGGTGGTGATGGTGGTGAAATTAAAAATGCCATTTGTGAGGTGGAGAGTATTATATGAATTTAACAACTGTGGTATTTGCCATCTGCCCAACCTTCACCCAATGCTTTGCAATGCGAGTCAGCTCTTGCTTCCTGTCTGATTCCCACTCCACGATGGAGCACAGCACCTCCTCCTCTAAGAAGCATGATCTGACCTCTCCAGTTGCCTGTTCCCTGCACTCCTGCAGCACCCTGAGCTACCTTTACCTCTGAACGCAGGGGACAGACCCTAACAGTGGACACGGCTGCAATTCCACGTGACCAGCATCAGAGCCAGGGCCACCCTCTGCATGTTTCACCGTCATCTGTTACCTCTGCCTTTTCCTAGCAAAGAGGAGACTCCTCAAAATGGACATCAGGTTTCACTCAGGAATTAAATTAATTTTCTCTTTTTTAAATACCCAATGATCTGTTTATTTTACTACCAAGAGACCCACCTACTTGGAAATACACATAGGCACTCTAAAACTTTAGCTGTTTTAAATATTTTACAGAGCTGAAATGCTTTTAAAGGAAATTTATAAATGTGTTTTTGTTGAAAAATACTTGGTATGAGAAAGAATCAGAATATTTGGAGAACAGTATGACAGTATGATGTAATAATAAAGGTAACATGAATGTTTGGACATGTGATAAGCAAGCAGGGTAACATGTTAATGACAAGATCTAGGTCGTATTTGTAAGTGTGTTCACTGCAAAATTCTTTCAACCTCACCATATGTCTGAAACTTTTACAGTAAAACTAGAGGCCCAGTGCACGAAAATTTGTGCACTGGGGCAGGGGATCCCTCAGCCTGGCCTACACCCTCTCACAGTCCGGGAGTCCTTAGGGGATGTCCTACTGTGGAGGTGACCTGGCTGGCCAATCAGGAGATGGCACTGCCGCAATCACCCCGCCGCTGCTGCCTGGCCTCCCTCTGTGGGAGGCAACCAGACAGGCCAATCAGGGGATGGTTACAGAACCTCCACATCACCCCTCCACCATCACTGGTCACCCCCACCCCCCCTACCCCCACTTGCCATTCCCTCCCTCTGCCCACTGGCATGCACCTTGGCTGGCCTGGCACCACCTGGTAACTGGCCCCGCCCTCTGCTGACTGGTTGTTCCACAGTTTGGTCAATTTGCATATTATGCTTTTATTAGATAGAATTTTGGGAATTATTCAGGTCACAGAAGCTACTAGGTCTGATATTGCTAGCTTGTATGGCTCAGGCAACCTGCTCAAATTCTGTAAGTCTCTGTTTACTTACTAGCCAAGGGTATCATGTTTGTCTTATTTACCTTTCAAGGCTTCTGTGAAGAGGAAATAGAGCAATATACGTGAAATCTCAGTAAATGTCCTGTTAGCAAAAGCAGGCAGCCCTTCTGGAGTTGGGGCTAAGGGTGTAGGCCCACCAGGTTCCCTCTAGATTCACCCTGATGAACACGGGAGAATGTCCTTAAGTTTTCTTCTCTTCACGGTTTCCCACAACCTACCGTTTGTTCTCTGTCTCCAAGCACACAGTCATTTTCAGGTACTGATCTTCCTTTCGCTCTTCCAAAGTGGCAGACACGAGAGAAAGTTCCCTGAAGAGCGAGAGAGGCCAGGTCAGGCAAGAAACTCCACTGAATGAAGGGAAACCAAACCGCTCTTCTTCCAATGGGCCAGCTGTGGGAATTACAAACACGGTGGGAAGCGGGAAGCAAAGGACTGACAGCTGGAGAGCAGGGGAGTGGCATACATAGGTATGGTAGGGAGTAACCATTGTGGCTTGTGATCAGGACAGCACAGCCTCGCCTTACCACATGGGGGTGCAAGATGATGAATCACACTGATGAAAACTCAGGTGCTTGAATGTAAACCCTTTCCTAAAAGTGTCTCAATTTTTTCTTGTTTATTAAATTTGGTGTTGGTAGTATAATACATCATTTTATTGGAAACAGCAGTCCATCTAGTCCACAGGCTAATAAAACTGTTTCAGATTTCTAATATGTATGTGCATATTATACACAGACACATATATACCAATACATAAGTATCCTCATCAGTTAGTGAGTTGAAGAAGTAAGAAATCACCATATTCAGCTCAAGTCGTATGTTCCTATATATACAATTTAACTATCTGTATACATGACAAGAAGGTAAAAGTTTCATGATAACTGTGAAGAATACTATAATATCCAGAAACTATGTCAACATCAGAAAATTGACAAAGTGGTAAGTGTTTTCTTAATCTACTTTCCTGAACAAAATTATATTCAAGAGTATCTGTGTGATAAATCTACTCAAGATACAGCTCCTCTTTTCCTCAGCCTAAATTTTAAAAATAATCTAGATTTAGAGGAGAGGAAAAATGGCGGCGGTATAAACGGACGTGTCCTCTGCCTTGTCCTGGAGCAGATAAGGGTGAGCAGCTGAAACGGGTAACATGCAGCCCGAATAGGCAGAGGATTTTCAGCTGAGAGACTGTCTGCAGCTAGGAAAGACCGAGAACCCCCAGGAAAAAAAGGACGGTTGGAGACTGCGGCTGAAGCCTCTCCTGGTGCGCCAGCTAAGCAGCGGAGACTGCGCCATCTTGGGTGGTTGTTGCCGGCTTCCAGAGACCAGCTACTCACCTGGAAACAAGGGATCTCAAGCAGCGTCACTGCCTGAACTCAGACTGCTTCTTCTCACGGAAAGGTTGGACATCCCCTAAAGGTGCGGTTTGCAGTTCGGGTTGGAGGGAGGACCGAGCTCGCGCGCGCGCGCACGGGGCGGAATCTGCGCCCCACAGAGTCTGCAGCAGTTGGGACCAGCGTGACCCGCGAGTGGGGAAGGGGCCCCACAGGGCTGCTGGCAGAAGGGAACGCGAAAAATGAGCCCATAGCTGGACTGGATGTAAGGGAGCAGCCTTGGACTTTGCCAATCTGTTGGCTGCTTGGTGCCAGGGGCGAGTGAGCGCGCGGAGACTGCGCGCAGAGACTGTGCGCAGACCTGGAAGGTGGAGGCTTGCGAATTCGCACAACTATCAGGCTCTTGTTACAGTTCCCCTTAGATCCGTGCATTTGATTATTAAACCCAGTGCATGGGATTCCCCAGTTGGGGTCATTCACAGAGCCTGTAGGGGAAAGTTCTTTTTGGGGAGCCTGGGAAACAGCGGGCAGTGGCAAGGAACCAGCTCTGGGAAGTGGTCTTTCCTGAATCAGTTCCCAATACCATAGAGGAAAAAAAAAAAAAAACCCTACTGATAGAGAGGACTTATAGCCTCGCAGGTCAATCCAGACACACTGCCACCCAGAGGCAGAGCCACGAACTGTCTCTTCTGCGATCACAAATAAAGGCAGTCTGGTAAACAAATACAAGCTGCCTTAAAATCAGGTCTGTGGTTTACTGCACGGAGGGACAGTGTATCGCAGGGAAGTTCAACACTTCCCTGAATGCCTGGCAGGACTGAGGCGTGCCAAAAAGAAGAGTGGAAGATCTGAAGCACCTTCACTTCCGAATATTTTTATATATATATATATATATATATATATATATATATTTTTAATTCTTTTTCCACCATTTCATTAAGAACCTATTTTATTATTTTTTTTTTATTTTTTATTTTTTTCATCACTTGATTTTACCTTTTTAATTACTACATTTTTTAACCAGTATTATTGCTATCCTTTTACCATTTTTTCAAGTGTCATTTTATTTTTTATTATTTTTTTAATTTTTCTTTATTTTATTTTGGGATTAGTGTTATACACACTATTTCCATCGTTCCTTTAGCATCATTTCTCTCTAGCTCACATTTACCCTTAAGCCAAAACTCTCTTCCTCACTTTTCCCCTTTTGTTGTCCTGTTTCTCTTACCCTATTCCTGCTTTGGATTTTACCTATTCCTTCTTTCTAACCACTGTCTAAATTTCACCCTACTTATATATCTAATTTCCAATCCCTCGCTCTCCCCATACAAATAGCCTCTTCGCCACCTCTATTTCATTCTCTTACTTTTTTTTTGTTTTTGTTTTGTTTTTTGTTTTTTTTGTATTTTTGTTTTTTTTCTTCTCTCCCTTTTCCCAATCTCATTTCGGCACTCCTTTTTTTTTTTTTTTTTCTCTTTAATCTTTTTCTCTTTTTTCTTCTATATCCCCTAATTCTCTTCGCTCGGGGGGGCCACCTTTATTTGGGGTTATTAATATCGTGAATGCATTTAGTTTGTTGCCTTGTACGTTGTGCCTTGTTGTGTTGTATTTTGTGCCTTTGAATCAGCGCAGCAGAGAGAGAACTACATAACCAAACACCTTGAGAAGAGAAATCATGGTGAAACAAAGAACCAACCCAAATATGAGAGAAAAACAGGCATCATCAGAAAAGGAAGTAAACGAAATGGAGGCAATGGAGGCAAGCAACCTGTCAGAGAAAGAATTCAGAGTAATGGTCATAAGGTGGATGAAAAAAATGGAAGACCAATTCAACAATATGTGTAGGAACCAAGAGGAAATGAAGAAGAACCAAGAGGAAATGAAGAGAAACCAAGAAGAAATGAAAAACGACATCACTGCCATAAAGAACTCAATAGAAAGCATCAACAGTAGACTTGGAGAAGCAGAGGACCGCATCAGCGAGCTAGAAGACAAGGTAGAAAAAAATACCCAAACAGAACAGCTTCTAGAAAAAAAAATTAAAAAGCAGGAGGAGAGCCTTAGAGAACTCTGGGACAATGCTAAACGAAACAACATCCGAATAATAGGGGTGCCAGAAGGAGAGGAAACTGAGCAAGGAATAGAAAACCTGTTTGAAAAAATAGTAACAGAAAATTTCCCTGATATAGGGAGGAAAAAACTCACACAAATCCAAGAAGCTCACAGAGTCCCAAACAAAATGAACCCGAAAAGACCGACACCAAGGCACATAATAATTAAATTGGCAAACACCAACGACAAAGCAAGAATCTTAAAAGCAGCCAGAGAGAGACAGAAAGTTACCTACAAAGGATCCCCCATCAGACTAGCGACCGATTTCTCAACAGAAACACATCAGGCAAGAAGGGAATGGAATGAAATATACAAAGTCATGCAAAGGAAGGGTCTGAATCCAAGAATACTATACCCAGCGAGGCTAGCAATCAAAATTGAGGGTCAAATCAGGAGCTTCACAGACAAAAACGGTCTACGAGAGTTTATTACAACCAAACCAGCAATGCAAGAAATGCTACAGGGTCTGCTGTAAATAGAAAAAACAGGAAACAAAGAAGGAACGCAGCGGTAAAGAACAAAAATGGCGACTAACAAGTTTCTATCAATAATAACTTTAAATGTAAATGGATTAAATTCCCCAGTCAAAAGGCATAGGGTAAATGAGTGGATAAGAAAACATGACCCATATATCTGCTGTCTACAGGAAACCCACCTCACAAAAAAAGACGCACACAGACTGATGGTGAAGGGATGGAAAAAGGTTTTTCAGGCCAATGGAAGTGAAAAAAAAGCCGGGGTAGCAATACTTATATCTGACAAATTAGATCTCAAAGTGAAGGACATAAAAAGAGATCAAGAAGGCCACTTCATAATACTAAAGGGAGCAGTCCAACAAGAAGAAATAACTCTGGTAAATATATATGCACCCAATATAGGAGCACCCAAATACGTAAGAAATCTTCTGGAGAAGATCAAGGGAGAGATTGACAGCAATACAATCATAGTAGGGGATCTTAACACCCCATTATCTCCACTGGACAAATCCTCTAAACAGAAACTCAGCAAAGAAACATCAATCCTAAATGACTCACTAGATCAGATGGAATTAATTGACATCTTCAGAACATTTCACCCCAAAGTCACAGAATATACATTCTCCTCGGGTGCACATTTGTCATCTTCAAAGATAGACCATATATTGGGTAACAGACAAAGCCTCTTCAAATTCAAGAAAATTGAAATCATATCAAGTATCTTCTCAGATCACAAAGGCATAAAACTGGAAATCAACTACAACAAAAACAATCCAAAAAAATCAAACACATGGAGACTAAATAGCATGCTATTAAACAACGACTGGGTCACCAGTGAGATCAAAGAAGAAATAAAAAACATCATGGCAACAAATGACAATGAAAACACAACAATCCAAAACCTATGGGACAGCAAAAGCAGTCTTGAGAGGGAAGTTCATAGCTCTACAAGCCTACTGCAAGAAACAAGAAACAATGAAAATAAATGACCTAACTCTACAACTCGAAGAATTAGAAAGAGAGCAACAAAAAAAGCCCACTGTAAGCAGAAGGAAGGAAATAACAAAGATCAGAGCGGAGATAAACGACATAGAGACCAAAAAAACAATACAAAAGATCAACAAAACCAAGAGCTGGTTCTTTGAAAGGATAAACAAGATTGATACACCTCTAGCCAGGCTCACCAAGAAACAAAGAGAGAGGACCCAAATAAACAAAATCAGAAATGAAAGAGGAGAAATAACAACAGACCCCATAGAAATACAAAGGATTGTTAGAAAATACTATGAACAACTCTACTCCAACACACTAGACAACCTGGAGGAAATGGACATATTCCTAGATAAATACAACCTTCCAAAACTTAACCAGGAAGAATCAAAAAATCTCAATAGGCCAATAACTATGGAGGAAATCGAAGCAGTAATCAAAAAGCTTCCAGCAAACAAAATCCCGGGGCCAGATGGCT